GCCCAGGGGTGGCACCACCCACAGTGGGCTGGGGCCTCCAACATCACTCATCAAGAAGATGCCCCTCAGACATGGCCACAGGCCAGTCCAATAGAGGAAATTCCCCAATTGAGGCTCCCTCAACCCAGGTGTGTCAAGTTGACACTAAAGCTATCTAGCACAATATCCTATAAAAGTACCTGCCCAGAAGTCACTTGGTCTAGCTCTGGAGACCCCACCCTTCCTGACAGGCACTTCGAACTCTTTGCTTTTTACTTACTCTTTACTTTCTGCTTCAATGAATGTTTGTTTTCACTGTTTTCTGAGTCTTTCCTTCATTCATCCCCGAGCCTTCCATTTTATCTGCCTCTGGAAAGAACCCACACTTCAGGGCAACTGGTCCTTGGCTCTCTCACCCCTGCCACATCTGTGGTGGCCTGTTTGGAGAACAATAAAGGAGAGTCTCACTCAACATCGGTGTAACTGGCTGAAAATTTAAGTCAGAAATCTGGAATGATCATTGAAATGACCAGGGCCCTGACACTTCTAGCCAACTGAGGGTTCCCTGATGATGCTTAGTCTAATCAAATCCCCAGCCAACTCCCTTCTCTACTGGGAGTTAGGAAGTGTAGAGGACCAGGTATGAGAGACAAAACAACTCAACCTCATATGACTAAATAGAGCTTTCTCCCCTGTAATAGGGGAGAACCGGGGAGGGGTATCCTACCACCATGCCAAGAGATGGGACCCTGAGATCTGAAGAGGTAGCTAAGTCTTAAAGACAGTTCACAACCCTGGGTGGTGGGACAAATTCCTTAGTTTGTCATGTCTAGGTGTCCTCTCTGTCCCAGAACAGAATGGGAACATTTCTTCACCCATGAGTGGACTGCACTATGAGGCAGTTCTCCCATCCTCTGCACACCATTTTGATTGCACTATTCCCCAGTGCCAATCTCCACTTTTCCCAGCTCATACTTACCACTTAGGACATCATCCACAGACATGGTCCCATTTTTGGCAGGCCTGACCATGGGAACTGAGATGTAAGGAGGACTTAGCTACCACAGTGGCTAATGTGCTTCTGGCAGACATCCACCATGTCCATTTTGGCTCCACTTCCCTCCAAAATGGGCTCTAGGCCATTTCTTGTTTGAACACAGCTTGACTGGTGGGTTGTTAACTCTGTCAAGATCTTCCACTTGCCTCCTAGAACCCTGGTTATCGGAAATCAAATGACTGATTGTTTTGAAGAGTGGCAATGTCACAGATATCTAGAATGTAAAAGGGAGTGCAGGGTACTTTTCCTCCTACAGGAAGGAAAGAAAAAAATGTCCTTTAAACTGACCCAGAAGCAGGAGGAAATGAAAAATAGGGGGACCCTGTGCCAGGACGTGGGTGAATGCAAATTTCCAATACTTGGGTCAGACCCCTTTGGGACATCTGGATCACACTAGCTGCTCCCATAACAGACTGGAGATACCCTTCTAGGTAAAATAGGGAATGGGTGTAGCGGAAACGCCAAGTCCAGTCCAAGACTTTTCTTTTTCCTCTTCCGTCTTGTTATAGATGGGGCAAACTACCTCTAAGATTGCTTTAAAAATCATCACTTGGATGCCTACTTACACACTGGATAAAATTAGACCCCAAAAGTCTTAAGAAAAAGAGTCTAATCTTTTTCTGCCAGGAGGCTGTGGGGAATTCAGAAAAATGGCCATCCGAAGGGAGCCTTAATTACAATACCATTCTCTAACTAGATTTATTTTGCAGAGAAAGGGGAATGGTTTGAGGTTCCTTGTGTACAGCTTTTTTTTCTATCTCCAGGACCACCAACTGGGGATCCAACATCCAAGTGCATGACTATGGTACCCCCACCAAACACTCAGTCTCCAGAATTGGCACTTATGGAGCCTTTGTATTCCAACTTGGTAAGGTTACCAGCCCCAGGAACTTGTCCACCTTATCTTGAAGGGCTGGAAAGACTTCCGCCCAGGGCTCCCAGGAGGCTCCCTTACCTCTCTGTGGGGTATTTCCTCCTCAAGAGGTGTTAGGGGAATTTGAGGCTGCCTATGTTCATCAGCCCTTTCCCCATGTTGAGCTCAAGGACGTTAGAAAGGAACTAGGCAACTTTACTGAAGACCATATATACAAGTCTTCCACCAACTGAACATTTTTTATGACATGGTTTGGAGGGATGCTCTGCTCATTCTGGGTCAGATCTCTATAGAAAGACAAAGAGTAATTGAACAGGCAGTCAACCCTGACAATGATGCTTTTGAATACATTCACTGTGATAGAATGTGTGAATTGCAGGAGAGCCATAAACCTCATTAGGGAAGCCATAAAACTATAAATCCCTTAGAGTGACCAACTGGCCCTAAATTGGCAGACTGGTTTTACTCAAGCCTTATCAACTGGTCACTCCCGAGGACTGAAGGAGATGTGGAGCCAACCTGTCTCCTTTAGTGCCCTAGATAGCTTTCCTGCCCTGCCTGAAAAAATAATCCTGGGAGGAAGACCTTTAATCACAAAAGGACACCAGGCCCTGGCACCAAGTAAACTCCTGCAGCTGTGTTCAGTAGAATTCCCATACAAACCCACCCTACCCCTTTATTGGATACAGATTTTTTTTCCCCTCAGAAAAGCTTCTGCCCTTTGCTATGATACCTGAATAAAGGACACATTCCTTGCCTGTTGCAGGTCTGGCCCTGGTTCTTTGTTCTAAACTCTAAACTCCTTCCTTTTCTGCTCTTCTAACACACTGAGCTCCCCTAGACATTTTATATGTTACGTTGAGGAAGGCCTTCAGAAGGCCAAAGTAAGCCTCTCAGTTATGCCAAATAGCTATTGTACTCCAGGGGGATTGTGACCCTCCTGTTACTTTTGTTCAGAGACCAGGGAAGCAATTCAGAAATGTATCAGTGTGACTCTGGGGTCCAAGGAGAAGGAAGTCCTTCTAAAGGACAAATTTCTCACCCAGTCAGAACCAGATATCTGGAGAAAATTGTAAAAACTGGTGACTAAACCAGGCAAGAATTTGGACCAATTGGTCCAGATTGCTACATCAGTCAACTATAATTGGGGACTAGAAAAAACATAATGCATCCTAGAGGAGAAAAAAAGCATTAAGAGACACCATAAAATGATAAAGTAGCCTATGGATGAATTCGGTTGATCAGGAGAAAGCACCAGGACACAGATAAAACTCCATTGGAATAGAGTTTATTAGCAAAGGAACACATGGGAGATTCCCTTCTGGGCAGGGAAAATGTCTGTCCCGG